TTTTAAACGAGCTTATTAAAAAACACAATGTTTAGATTTTACTACACAAAATTCAATAACATTACAATTAAGTTTTTGTTTTGATTAATTAAAAAACAAACTACCTTTCTAAACTTTAATAAATATTAAACACAGAAACATAATTTGGAAAGAAATATAGATGTAGGATGTCGAACAGCATGGTCAGATATCAGAATTCGGAGTTAAGGTATATAATATCATTCATAGATACCTAATTTTCGAATTCATCGTGTAAAAATAGGACACACGCATATATTTTAACAAGTTATATTAAAAAGTGATAATATTGTCATTAAAAAAATTATTAATGAGTTAGAAAAACCATTTTTCTATACAACTCCAGTACCTACCTTATTGTAGCTATACTATTGATTATCTATTTCCGAGAAATGTCTCAAATTTAAGAGCTACACGATGACCTACGACCTAAAGATTTTAGCACAACATTATAATTTGGATTCAGAACTACTAAAATCAGAACTTAAATAGTACCAAACACAATAAATATGTATCAGCAAGAAAATAAAATTGTGTTGTAAAAAATATAAATATACTCTTGGCTATAATTAAGGCCACCCTAATTGTGTAATCCTAGATACGTGCCTGTATAATACATATGTGTATATAATATATATATATATATATATATTATAATATTATATCAAATAACATTTTTAACAGGCTTTACCTTTTCGATAGGATTTGTATTTTTATTAACGTCAGACACATTATCAATATTTTTCTTATCCGATTTCATAGAACGTCCTTTTTTTTCTTCACATTGTGGACATGAACACGAATTTTGTATTTTCATAAAATTATTAATTCCTTGAGTTGCATCTGAAGTATACCTAACCAACAATAGACATGTTAAATACCAAGTGTAGGTACCGAATCATTTTTATTAAAAAAAAAAAAAATGTATAACAATTATTAGGACTTGTTTTAATAAATCTAGGAATGTTAATATATTAGGAAACATTAATTTATATTTTTTTTAAATAGATATGTATACTTTTTCCCACATAGGTAGATGTATTGTGGCACATATCCCGCATAACCTGGTATGATATCTGTAGTATATTTGCAATTTAAATTGTCTGCACATCGCTTATTTAAGGAGTCTGCTTCTTCAACAGTACAAGTCCTATCGTCGTGTAGGCTGTTAATGTCACTGAGTACTGGTACACCAGACCGATTATTTGTCTTATATAATAGATTATGCGTTAATTTCCCATAACCCTGACCGCAGGCAGTTATGTAGCCCGGAACAAATCCAGTGTATCCGGTCAAATGGTGTGGTTGAGGTGGTAAAATATCTTGGAAATTCTTCATATCGGTTATGTCAAGTAATGAAAATTGTCAACTAAATACCAAATATATAAATTAATCAAAATATAATAATTAGGTAGGCATATGTTATTAAACCATGGCAACTCTAAATATTGTATGTCCTATAATTTTATACCAGAATCTAAGATATTATAAATTATGACGTAAATCACATGTTATGTCTGAAATTATGCAAAGAATTATTTGAATGAATACTGTACTATATAATGAAATATTATTTATTAAACTATATAACTATATTTTTATTTAAATAAATTATTATCTATACAATAAATAAGTGATGTCTGTCTGTTTGTTACCTAGAGACTCAACAACTACTGGACCATTTTCGATAAAAGTTACATTAATAGATTCTCTAAGGCTTGTAGTGCATTAGCTTCAACCCCTATAGGCATGTGTACTAGAACAAGATATAGAGTTGTATTAACACATGAATTACTTAATTGAGGTTCATGAAAAAAAAAAAAAAATATATATACATTTGTATTATTAGTTGCCAATTTGCCATTTATTGAGTAGACATACATTATATTATACATATCCATAGATATTATTAGTGGAAATATTATATATGCACTTTTTTATATGTATATAAATGTATAATTATAAAATAAACAAATCTTTGACATGGGCAATATTGAGTGGGACATTATATTGATAATTTTATGTACATGAATAAGTTTTTTTTTAAAGAAATATTTTTGTTGTATAGTATCATTGATTATAAATACTAGTATCAATGTATTATTAATACTATAGAACTTTTTTAAAGTACAGTGAAACATGACTTAACGGACACCTGTATATAACGGACACCTCTCTTAACGGACAAAATGACCAGGTCCCGGCCAAAAGATAGGCATTCTAATGTATTTCGACCTGTCTATAACGGACTCCTTCTATTACGGAYACGGACACTAATATTTTACTCGACAATTTCATAACGGACAAAAATACATACATACTACGTTGATAAGAAACGCAATTAGGACATTAAGTGAAAACACGGATTACGACCAATTACATTATCCATATATACATAATCCATAATTATCCAACACGAGTTGGAAAAAAACAAACATCAATAGAATCATTTTTTAAGAAATAATTAATAAATTTATATGCAATGTGTCATTTACATGTAATATAAAAATAATAATTAAAATTAAATTTATAATATATGTGTATAATATATAAYACATATTAATACAGATTATACCTAATACATATTATAAAATAAAAAACAATACAAATGTACGTACAAATTGTAATTTTTAAAACATTGAAACCTGTCAACAACAGACACCTGCCTATTACGGACAATTATTTTGGTCCCGCGACTGTCTGTTACATACAGGTTTCACTGTATTTTTAATTAATGGCAATAAATATAAACCTAGTTATTAAGTTATTAAAATTTGATATTAATAATACAATGATTAAAAACTGATATTTGCTAATATTTTATAATTATTATTAAGGATACAATATGAATTGTAACTATAGGCAATAATAATGTAAGAAAATATTCAGTTAATAAAATGTATAAAATGCTTACTTATTAATCTTAAAATTGTATTAAAGTTATTTATCCAAAAATAGGTTTTTTATTGTAGATTGGTAAATACTTAAAAGTATCAATTTAAAATTTTAACTAGATATATTTATTTAAAAACTGTTTTATATATTTTACATTTTCAATCCTTAGTTTAAAAAATAGTTTGCAAATCTTTATCATTAATTAACTTCAGATATTTTTAAAAATAAATCATGTCCGTGTATTTAAAATATTTTGAAGCTGCTTAGCTGATGATTATTCATAAAATATTCATAAATATTAATGAAACTTATGAGAGACCCTGTATTAGATATTTAAATTTAAAAGATAAGAGGAACATTTTTATCGATATTTATATTTATAGAAAAAAAAATTTTAAATGACAATAAATTGCTCAAAAAGAGCTAAAATATTTTAAAAATTATGTTGTGTATAGAAAATGTTAGTATAAACATGCGGTAAAAATATAAATTAATAAATGATGTATAAATTAATATTGATGGTTATTCGTTTTTGAATTACAAGAAAATAAGAAAATCATGTGAATGTATCAAACATAATACAAATTTGAAATGTCGACTAGTTAAACCAGATTCACTTTCTAACCAGATATTTATTGAATTTGAAAATTGAAGAAGTTTTTGAATGCTTGACATGCATAGGTGCAAAAAGAGGCCTATTATAGCACCC